AGATTACAATATTATAAACAAAATCCAATAATATGCAAATATATAAGAAAAGACATAAGAATGTATCACACTGCAGCTCCTCCGCAGCGTCGACTCTCAGAGTAGTGTCGATGGTATGYTGACTCTGGACATGTTATCACAATGTCCTTGTTCAGAGTCCTTCGGTCAATTCTTATTGTCCATGTTTGAGTGTCTGAATCCCTTTAGCACATCGAGGTCCCTGAACAAATAATCACCCTCACAGTGGTCTTCCCCCAATATTGTTCTAGAAGGGAAGAAAAGAAAACACCAAACAGTATCTTTTGCAGAAATAACAGATGTAAAAATTTGGTTCTGCACCATCCAAGTTCTACTCTGTTTACGATGTGGTACACGAAAAGTCACTGCATACAAGTTATCAATAGCCTCATGTTCACGCTTACCCAAGTCCTTCATGTACTCATCACAATCTGATATTCCCATAAGCATCCCAGGCCCATTATAATTATCATTTGAACAAAAACAGCCGTTAGCCCTCACGGATGCCACATCCATTGCATCAGGGACCGCCGTTATCATATTTTCCTGCCGATCAAATCAATTCATATATGGTAAAAATCTCCCAACCAAAAACAATTAAGTCTAGGTCTAAACAGATGCACTGACAAAGCCATCACTTTATCCTTTGCTGATTGCTGCTGATACAACAGCCATGATAGTGCATAAGATTGACACTGACTGGTTAGTGGTTCTGGTTCCGTCTCCAAAATTGAAGGCCATGTGCCTGGTGATGGAACTTTTACCACACATGGACAGTTCAATTTCCTAACCGATCTTACGATCCAGACGGGTTTGTTGTAGAATTTTACAAAACATGTTCAAACCTAATAACACCACATTTGGTTGATGTCTACAGCGAATCCTTTAATAGTGGCAGATTGCCTCCAACCCTATTAGAAGCCAATATCTCTCTTTTATTAAAAAAAGACAAGGACCTCCTTGAATGCAGCAACTATAGGCCCATCTCACTTTTAAATGTGGACCAAAAGATTCTCGCCAAGGTCCTAGCCACTCTTCTGTGTCACTCTCGTCACGCTGATAACTTGCTATTATATGTGTCAAACCCAGCCTCAGATACTCCGGTTACAAGTTAAATTTGAACAAAAGTGAGCTTCTTCCTATCAATGAACTGTCTAAGAAGATGCCATCATCCTCTTTCCCATTTATAGTTATTTCAGAGGGGTTTCTGTATCTTGGCATATTTGTAACTGCTTCTTTCAAGGACCTTTTTAATAAAAAATTTTGCCCCCTCATTGATAAGTGCAAGCTAGATCTGACCCATTGGTCCTCCCTCCCTCTCTCCCCCTAAATTTCTCAATTTGTTCCAACATATTCCGATTTTTATCAGACGGTCCTTCTTCTAGCAGCTAGACCAAACACTCTTGTTGTTTCTGTGATTGAGAAAGCCGCCCCGTATTAGAAAAAATGTTTTACAGCTCCCCAAAAAGCAGGGCAGTCTTGCACTACCCAACCCTATCCAATACTATTGGGCATGACAAAATCAGTCATCGGCTTGAAAGTGGAGCCAACGCAGGCCCCTCATGGGCTCTGATAGAAATACGGTCCTCAAAGTTTTCCCTATAGTCCCTCCTTCATGGAACCCTGTTGTTACTAACTCACTGAAAATTTGGAATCAGTTTCGTAAACACTACGGCTTGAATGAACCTTCAACTACCTGGCGAAACAAAGGTTTATTACATGTCAAAGACCTTTACAAAGAAAACATATTTACCTATTTTACAGAGCTCGCAACCAGGTTTGAATTACCCCACTCACTTTATTCGTTTTCTCCAGGCCAGGCACTTTGTCCAAACTACCTACCCTCACTTCCCCAACCACCTGCCTGGGTCTCAGATTGATTCCTTGCTCACCCTCGATCCTACACAAAAGCGCTCCATCTCTGTGATTTACAATTCCATTGACTCCCTTAACCCCGATCAAACTGCTCGCTGAAGCAGACTTGGGAGCAGGAAATAGGAGCTCCAATCTCAGACAATCAATGGGACCAAATCCTTAAACTAGTTCATACGTCCTCTTTATTTGCCAGGCACAGCTTATTACAATGTAAAGTTCTTTTCAGGGTACACTACACAAACATCCGACTGGCGAAGATTTACCCAGGCACCAGTGACAGTTATAATAGATGTAAGCAGTCTCTTGCTAATCACATACACATGTTTTGGTCCTGCTCGAACCTCACTGGCTTTTGGCGCCAAATTTTTGATACACTTGCAACAGTGCTTGATATGGATCTTAACCCTGAACCTTGCACAGCCTTGTTTGGCTCTCCCCCACTTACGACACCTAATCTCCCTGGATCAAAATGCCAGGTATTGGCCTTTACAACCCTATTGGCCATATTTGATTGTTATTTTGTTTAAGTGGAAACATGTTCTCCCACCCTCATGCAACAGCTGGCTTAGAGAGGTCCTAACTCACATCAAACTGGCGGGTTCTGATAACGCTTTTATCAAAACATGGCAACCCTTAAACAGAATTACTATTTACCCAGAAAGTGACTAGATGTCCCCCCCAATTCCGTTGTATTCTGTTGTACTCTTTCTTTTTTTAGATAGAATTATTTTTTCTATTGTTTATTTATTTTTATTTATTTAACTATTTTATTTTATTTTATTTTTTTGTGTGTTTCCCTAACAGTGGGTGGGAAGGGATAAGGGTTTCTTGTGGTTCGTAGAAGCCGTTTGGGCTCAGTTCAAGTTCGGTACCTCTCCCAATATACATTGTGTAGGACAGCCAACAGCTACTTTTCAATAGCATATTTTGCACACACTGTATATGTGAACTACTGTTATATGTGAATGAAAAAACTAATAAAAAGATTTATAAAAAAGCAGCCTACTTAGAGGACATAGTGATACATAGAAACAGATTTGAAAAA